ATAAAGGAAGTTTGCATATTTTAAGGGATCAAAGATTCTATTAATTTTAAAAATCCGATTTTACAAATTATAAGGTTTTTAGTTCGGACATTCTGACAGAATATGTTTGAGTGTGTTCAAAAATAAAAATATTTTTGAACCATAAATAATTAAAATATTCTTGAACATATTTCTGATCATGACTTTAAAAATTTCTTGTAGAATAACAAAATTCTCGAACCATCAATTGAAGAATTAAAACAAAAAGTACATTAATTCTTATAGAATACATGTAACAATTGCTAAGAATTACATTTATTTTTAAAGAATAAAACTAAAAATACTTTCAAATCTGGAAAAAAAAAACATCAAAATCTAACAAAAACACTAATACATTCTAAAAAAATAATGTTGCTAAGAGGCGTCGTTCAAATTTCGTGGTCCGTTCTTCAAACATCAGCTTCTGTAGAAACAAATCCAATGAATAAATTAGTGAGAAAATATCCATACTCCATTCCAACATAATTGGAATTCGTGATTCCATTATGATAGAATTGGAATTCATTTACCAATAATTATATTAATTCGGGGAATTCTAACAGAATATGTTCATGATTATCATAAAAAAACATTATTTTCTGATAGAATACTATAAACGAAGAAATACCATTTAGTTGAAGCATTTTAGCGAGCGCTTGGTGTGCATCAATTCGTCTAGAAACATATTGTCATTGCAATCGTTATTCTTCTCTGTTTCTTGTCTAACTGTTTGCATCAATTCGTCTAGAAACATATTGTTACAAATCAGATACATAGATACATAGTTTTAATTAGATAAACCCATATGTGTAATTGAATCAATATATATCAGATAAATCGTTATGAAACCCATACAATGTTAACTAAACTATGCTAACAGATGAACAACCCATAAAACAGAATGCAATCAACAGCTAAAGCAAAAATCAACAACTCACACTCCTATGATAAAAAGCAGATTACATGTTTATCAAATCAGCTTTACTTAAACGACTGTTTTTGTATGAAATTAGCAAAAAATAAACATCGACTGTTTATAAAATGAGGATTTGAAATAAACAAAGAAACCGACTGTGAATGAAATCCAGAAATCCAGAAATTAGAAATTCCATAATCGTCAACCATATGTTGACAAATCGGAACGCATAACCACTGTTTGTATACTCCAGAAAATTACAGAGTATAGGAGATGGTAATGTGATGCAATTTTGGGATTTGGAATTATCATCTAAATTTAAACCCAAATATGAAAACGTGAAAAAACATGTAAATTAATTAATTATTTTTACCGTTGAAAAGCAATCGGCATGGGGTTTTTTTGTCGATTTGGGGGTTGTGAAGAACACTTGAATGACATAATCATCTCTCTTCTACTCCTCATATTATATCTAAGCGCTAAAAATGTGGGCTGTCGAGAATGGTAGCTTCGACTTGATAATTGTGGATGTCGGATGGATGTGGTGTAGGGTATCGCGTACAGAAGACGATGAATTGTGGGATGCTGATTGAGATGTATTGATGGTCATCCGTTTCTAGGGGTTGTAATTCGAGAGCAGCTTGAGCTTCGTCGTCCGACTCCGAGTCGGAATCGGAACTTGATGCAGACTGGAATAAAGGGGTAATGGCGGCTGGAGGGACAAGGGTGGGGTGTCGATTTGTTCAATTACCCTTATTTATTTATTTATTTAATTATTTAACTTTTTACTTAATTTTGATTGACCCACATTTATGCATACAATAACACAATACTTAGTTAAAACACCTGAACCTATCTCTCTCTCTCTCTCTCTCTCTATATATATTATATATTATATATTATATATTATATATATTATATATATATATATATGTGTGTGTGTGTGTGTGTGTGTGTGTGTGTGTGTGTGTGTAGAGTTGGGAAAGAAAAACAATTCATGATCCGAAATCAACTTTATATCCGAAACCGATTTGGTTCCTAATCCGATTTGCCTGTTTGAACCGAGTCAATGTTATAGCAATTAGGACCGATTTGAGATCAGTTTGACATGCATCGGTTTTTTAAGCCTGTTTAAGACCGGTTTTTCTAGTCTTTTTTTAACATGTATTGTTACTCACATTTAATATAACAGTATTTTGTTGGCTGTTATGACTACCAATCTTCAGCCTCACTTCCTATTGGCAATTTGGAAAAATATGTACAAGATATCACATGTGCCCTATCTTGTAATTTATCATCGTTTCTTCTTCCAAAGACGAACCATTTGTCACCTTAGGTGCTATGGTTCGCAGAATGTTGCTGAAGGAATTGGAATTGAAATTGGAAAAGGAATCTGTCAAGAATTTGAATCCAATTCCATATGCTGTTTGGTTGGCATGAAATGGAATTGGAATTAATTCCAGATTCTGTTTGGTTCGCAGGAAATTGAATTGGAATTCATGTAAAATGACTATTATTACCCTTTTGCATGTTTTACTTAATTTTACCTTGTTTTCTAAATTATATGGTAAGATACATTATGAAAACTATAAAAACGGTAAAATTTTGGCGGTGGTGGCAGTAGTGGTGAGGGCAGTGGCGGTGGTAGCGGCGACAGTGGCGGGTGGCGACGACGGTGGTGGTGATGGTGGTGGTGGCATTGATTGTGGTAACGACGATGATGGTAGTGGTGGTGGCGTCGGAGGTAGTGGCGACGGCGGTGATGGTGGGTAGTTGTGGCGGCGATGGTGGTGATCATGGCGGTGATACTGGTGGTCGGTGGCAGTGGCGATGGTGGCGGTGGGTGGTGGTGGCGTCGGAGGTAGTGGCGGTGGGTGGTGGTCATGGCGGTGGGTGGTGGCAGCGGTGGTGGTCATGGCGGTGATGGTGGGTGGTGGTGGCGTCGGAGGTAGTGGTGGTGGTGGCGGTAGCGTTGGTGGTAGTGATGGTGGCGTCGGAGGTAGTGGCGGTGGGTGGTGGCAGCGGCGGTGATGGTGGGTGGTGGTGGCGGCGGTGATGGTGGTGGTGGTGGCGGCGACAGTGGTGGTCATGGCGGTGGTGGTAGTGGTTATGGCGGCAGCGGTGGTGGTGGTGGCGGTGGCGGTGGTGGTGGCGACGGTGGTGGTCAAGATAGTGATGGTGGTGGTGGTGGTAGTGGTGGGTTTTTTGATAAGTACAAAGGATATTTTTGTAATCTGTCACTTTCCTTGATGAGAAGGAATGTTTTCCATCCAACTTTGGAAGGAATTCACTTTCCACCATATGGTGGAAAGTTTATTTCATTTAGGAATCCTTTTCCCTCCTCTAAGTCCAACCAAACGCATGAATTCAAAGGAATTGAAATCATTTTCCCTCGAATTCTATTCATTTCCTGCCAACCAAACGGACCCTTAGGATTCTATTTTTGTCTCATAGTGAAATGTATTATATGAGTATTTTCAAACCGATTTTGTACAATCCGATTTCAATCGCGTCCATTTTTTAGGTTTGAACCGGTTTGAATCTGATCTGGTTTCTAACCCAAACGGATTTTAAAACCAATCCTATTTCTAGTATTATTTTTTTTTTTACCAATATTGTGGCTATGTGTACGTATATGTAGGAGGACACAAAAACTCACCTGATGCCCATAAAGGAAATAAAGGGCAACATAGTTGGCAGTTTAGGCGGGTTTAGTATTTTACTCTTAAGCATCAATTCTTGAAGCCCATTTGAAAAACCCATTTGAGGCCCAAGCCTATGTATAATAGTAAATAGAAAATATGTTTCTAGGACTGAGGCCTGGGCCGTAAACGAATCGAATTCGACGACCATTTGATGAGATGTTTGTTTATGTTATTTTATTTAATAAATGAACAATAATGAATTTAAATTTTCTTTAACGAACAAATATGAACAATGGTCTCGTTCTTAATTTCATTTATGTTCGTGAACGTTCGTTTATGTTGTTCATTTACGTTCGTTTAGGTTCGTTCGTTTAAGTTTATTTATGTTCATATATGTTCAATTGTTTTTACATTAGTATATTATATGTTCGTTTATGTTCAGATATGTTCAATTGTGTTATTTTATCTTTGTTCATTTATGTTCGTTTAGCCTTGTTCACGAACATAAATGGACGAACATGAATAAAGTAATTTGTTAAACGAACGAACATGAAAAAGAAAAATCGTTCGCTTATACATTCGTGTTCATTCGTTTGTTCGGCTAATTTAAACGAACGAACATGAACAAACCCTTGTTCGTGTTCGTTCGGTTTGTATACAACCCTACTCAAGGGTGAAACAAAAACTTTAGAATAATACGGGGTTAAATCGAAATAGTAATACATAAAATCAAAAAAATAATACATACTACTAAAATGTTAAAAGTTACCTTGTTATAGACTCTTGCGCTAAGTATCTATGTTTTGTCTGTAGTTTAGATTTTAGCACAACATGCTTTTTAATTATGGGTTTGGACTATGGATAGCGCAAATTCAATTAATTTTCACATTATTATAATATGTTAAATAAAATGACTAAATTACCGGTATTTCTAGTTTGGTAGCACTTTCCTTTCTAATATTAATATGTGCTGATCAGTTTTTTTATGACAAGAATGCATAACTTAGATATGTACGTTTCTTCGTCTATGTATATTATATTTGACATCAAAATTTTGATGGTAACAATAGCATATTAGTTATGCATCTCCATGAGTACAAATAATGAAATAATACATTAATTTTATCCATATTTTGAGTACACACTTGTTATTGCTAATAAAGTGGGGTCCCACTTCATTGAAATCTCTTAATATATTTTAGTTTATTATTAAAAACATGGATATTATATAACTTTGTTTATGCTTTGATCATCTTTTTAAAACCATATGTTTTCTTCCTTTAGGAGATATACATGGTATCCGAAGCAGAAAAGAGAAGATGGCGAGCTCTCCCGAGAGACAATTACCCAAAACCATTGATTTTTCATGATGGAAGGATCGCACTCATGCCAACATATCTAATAACATTAGCAATAATCATATGGGTTCCATTTGGGTTCTTGCTCACTATTTTGAGGATCATAATTGCGATATCTTTTCCATACACCGTGTCTATCCCTATCTTGTCATACACAGGGATGAGAGGTAGAACATATATATGTTCAAACGATACCAACAATGTTGACAAAATCAGAGAAGATCTAATCAAAAGCAAAGGCAAGAAAAAAGGCACGTTATATGTGTGCAATCATAGAACATTACTTGATCCAATCTATATATCAATGGCGATAATGAAGCCTGTCACAGCTGTTACATATAGCTTGAGCCGATTATCAGAACTCTTGGCACCATTAAAGACTTCCCATTTGAGTAGGAACAAAGAGAAAGACTCAAAGATGATGGAGATGTTACTTAACCAAAGTGACCTTGTGGTTTGCCCTGAAGGGACGACTTGTAGGGAACCCTATGTGCTTCGATTTAGCCCTTTGTTTGCTGAAATGAGCAATGAAATCATCCCCGTTGCTTTAGATGCTAAAGTTGGTATGTTTTATGGGACAACTGCAAGCGGTTTCAAATTTTTGGACCCTTTGTTCTTTCTTTTGAATCCAATTGGAATTTACCATGTCATGATTCTTGAGAAGTGGACAAGTGCAAATACATGTGGGAAATCAAGTATCGAAATTGCTAATCAGGTTCAGAGACAAATTGCGGATGCATTAGGGTTTCAATGTACGAATCTCACAAGAAGAGACAAGTACATGATCTTGGCAGGAAATGAAGGTGTTATTTAGAATTATAGAATATATCAACTTTTGATGTATAATGTATATAATTCACAATTTAAGTATGTTTTATACAATTGTAACCAGACATATGTGCATGAGTGAAAAAAGAGTTATTATATATATATATATATATATATATATCTATATATATATATATATATATATATCTATATATATATATATTAAAGTTATCGTTCCTTAGCTACAGTACCTGACCACAGGTACTGTTCCTTGGTTAGTTAGTATACCTGTGTTGGTTTAATCTCACCGATCCACCGCCTAAAAATGTCTACGTGTTCTGATTTTGGTCTTCTCCACCTTCTCTCTTCTGTTTCGTCTCCACCCATCACCGTTCCCTCCGCGAATGCTTTTCTTCCGTTTTCGATTTGTCTTCATCGTCTTATGGTCGCCGCCTCCAGATTCTTCCTACCGCCTCTCTTATCAACTGTTAGCAATCTACCGCCTCCATCTATTTTGTGTCCATTGAAGAGCCATTCCCCATCCAGGTGTTCTTTTCAACGCTTTGTCGATGCTTCGATTGGTAATATCTGTAATCCATATCCCCTTCGCCGTCTGTTACTGCTCCTTCAGCCTCACCATCTCCGTCGATGTTTCTCTCTAAAAAACCGTCGTCTGATTGATATGTCACCACTACCACTTTATGACCCTGCTTCGTCGAACCCTAATTACATATGTCATTGAGATGGTTTTAGGGGAAAGCAAAACTTGATTTTTCCTGCGTGCAACCAAAATGAGTTGCTTCTTCAACACCGGACCTGCACAGAATGTTACTCTCTATCTCTCTCCCTCTCTCTCTCTCTCTCACTGTATTCCTTTTATCTATCTATTGCCAACAGCTCTCCCGCTGCCGCCATAGAAGTAGAGATGCCGACTCCATCTCTATTGCTCCAGCTCCGGGCATTGAGGTACTTGAACTTCTCGCTTTTACTGGTAAAATCGGAAATCCGATGAAGTCGATGTCTGATATTTTTTTTCTAATATAGATTTCGAGTTTATAAGTTTAAGACTTTATTTTTTCTGATATTAGGAAATCGATTCGATGTCTGAGAGGTCGATGGAATGCCCCAAATAAGATGCACATGGTTAATTTCTGCGTTTTTTTTCTAACCCTAAGAGGTATTTTGTTTTTCATGTAATGAAATATATTCGATTTGCAGGTAAAATCAACTTCTCACATCATGTTTATACGGATTCTGAACCATCGATTGGTTTGTGAGGTATAATTCCCCTTTCTGAAGCATTTGTTTAATATTTCACTGTAAAATCCGCCGTTTTGTGATAAAATACATACGTATTACTTCTTTTTTGTACGTTTGTTTAGTATAATAAAGTGGAATGTGAGATTTGTCTACACATGATGTTCTTTAACCATTTTTTACATTCTCACTTGAGCTGTAGAATATCAGTGAGTTATGAGCCTCTTAATCTGTATTTTTTGTATTGAATGTCTTATTAGGTGGATGAGGACTTTCACAAGTCTAATCACTCTTGGAATTTTACCATACAAAGACATTTACATGATTTGGACCGTTGGAATTCTTCACAAGCAATCAATAAATTTGTCATACCACATGGTTTGTATAAAATCTATACCCACCAGTTAAGGCAAATAGGCCAGACGTCTGACATCTGGTTATTATTATTATTATTCCTATTTTTTATGTTGTTTTATATGAGGGATTGATCTTGATCATTATGTATATTCTCTCACATTCAGGGTGACGATTTAGTTGATCAGTAGGTGAAGTTGAAGGTAGACATGAGGAACTGCTAACAGAAGCACAGTTGACAGTTGCAGCTGAAGAAAAAGAAGCTCATTCATTTGAAATTGACCCTGCTCAGGTATAGTATATGATATGTGGTATCCGTTTTTGATGAAGTGCATCTTATTTATATCGATCACTTAAAAAAAAGGTCGAAGTGTGAATTGTAGACGGTTGGTTTCATAAGCTTTTTGACTTAACCCATTAAGGCGTTCTTTCCGGATTAAGTAAAAAAGAAACAGTCATGTATAGCTAGCTGTGAAAAAGAAACAAACAACCCCATAGTCTTTTCTACAAAATTGATAATTACTCATAATAAGCAAATTGCGCAGATAAATCTGGATGTTGAGATGGAATTAAAGCCTCATGCACAACCACGACCTTATCAAGAGAAAAGTCTTAGTAAGATGTTTGGAAATGGTCATTAGAGACTGATTAGAAAAATTTGTTAATATTTATATTTGTTGAGAGAGTTTTTTTTTTTTTTTTAAACATTTGTTGAGGCTGCAGGAAGAGCAAGGTCTGGGATCATTGTGTTACCTTCTGGTGCTGGAAAGTCTTTAGTGGGGGTTTCTTCAGCCTACAGGATTAAACAAAGCTGTCTCTGTTTAACTACAAATGTTGTTTCTGTTGACCAATGGGCTTTGTAATTCAATTTATGGTCAAACATTCGTGATGAACATATATGTCGCTTTACATCTGATAGTAAAGAAAGGTTTTGTGGAAATGCTGGAGGAGTTGTTGTCACCACATACAACATGGTTGCTTTTGGTGGTAAAAGATCCCAAGACTCTGCAAAAAACATTTAAGAAATAAGAAACAGAGAATGGGGTTTGCTACTCATGGACAAGGTACATTCGCTTTTGAATAAAGTAATAATGACCATTTTACCCCTTATACTCCAAAAAAACTAATTTCAGGTGCACGTGGTACCTGCACATATGTTTCGTAAAGTAATTAGCATCACTAAGTCTCACTGCAAGCTTGTGCTTCATATTATAAGTAATATTTTCTTGATTCTCTAACCCATTCATTTATGAAAGTCATTGATCCTCATGTCTTCCCAAAATCATTTGTCCTTTAGATTTAACGTCTACATATTTTATATTTTATCTAATTAATTCCAAGTAATCTATTTCTAATTTTTAATTGAGTATGCCTTTGTTAGCAATCAACAAAACTACAAAGTATTATGATTCCCACCAACCAGTTTCATAGCTAATATGGAAAGTTAAAGCATAATTATCATATATGTTTCCAGATCGATTACCATCCTGTTATCATTATAACATTATATATGTTTTTGCAGAAGTTGAATTGTGAGAACAAAGTTATCAAGGATTTTGGTTTTTTGATCATTTGGATGTCCAATGGTGGATTACCAGGTCCTTATCGGGAGCAATGTACGTCAGACTGTTGGTCCCTCAAATCTTCAGCTAATAGTATAGACTTTGTTATATTGTGTATTATAACATACTATTATTGTTTACAACTATTACTTTTATAGCAACATACTATTTAATTTTCATATTTATGTAAATTTGCCTTTTTTATTTCTTTCTATTTAATTCTTTTTTAGAAAGTGCAACGACATTTTTTGCATTTTACAGAGACATCGAGGAAAATGGAAGTATAGCTTACCTTATTTTCTCAAATTAAATGCTTTGGGTTGTAAATAAAACATTTTTCAAATTCTTATCTAACCCCGGCGAAGCCCGGGATCCTTTTCTAGTTGATATTAAAAATGTAAGTATTTAATATACATAAAAACATACTAAATGGTCCACCATCGTATTGATTGTAATTTAAGTTTGCATAGTAATTGCATGGGAGTAAATTATCAAATAATCATGGATGAAGATGAATAAGAGGTGTGAAGCATCCTTTTAATAACAACTAGGAAAAGGCTCGTGCGTTGCACGAGTGAAAGTTTAGTGATAAAAATATAAAAAAGTAAAAATAAAGTGCCAAAATTATAAAGATGAAAAGTTTGTTGAAACTTTAGTGGCAAAATTAGTAAAAAATAAAGTACCAAAACTATAAAGAGGAACAGTTTGTTGAAACTTTAGTGGCAAAATTATAAAAAAGTAAAAATAAAGTGGTAAAATTATAAAAGAATAAAGAAAAAAGGTTTTAAAGAAGTAAAAGTGAATGTTTAGTGGCAAAAATATGAAGAAGTAAAAATAAAGGGGCAAAATTATAAAAAGGAAAAGTTTGTTGAAACTTTAGTGGCAAAATTAAGAAAAAGTAAAAACATAGTGTTAAAATTAAAAACATGGAAAGTTTACTGTTGAAACTTTCCATGTGCTTTTATATATATATCTATATATATATCTATATATATATATATATATATATATTATATATATATATATATATATATAAAATGCTAATAATGATAATAATAAAAAACAAAAAAAAACATAATCCATTATCTAAAGAAGTTTCTGATGGGGTCTCACTTGAGTGGATGGAGTTAATGGTACTGGGTGTTGGATGTTGGGAGCTGGGACTATTTTTTATAGTGATGAGTGAATGTTCAATCGAAGTTGGTTCATATGGTTTGCAAATTATATTGGTTTGAATATATAAAAAAGAATAATTGTATATTTCCGATCTGAATTTTAAAAAAAAAATCACTATTTTAATTTATTATTGGTCCAAACTCGAACACGACGTACCATATAATAGGTATAGGCCTGTATGGCTTTAATATAGTATATGTAATCTATAGCTAATATTTATAAAACATGAAACAAATTTATTTTATTTTATTTTATTTTCAGGTTCTTGACCTACCACTATCAAAAGTTGATGGATATGTGTCATCAGACAAATGTTGAAGGTTTTCGTTGTGGACAAAATGTTTAGATTTAGGAGTAATATAAAAAATGTGTGTGTATAACACGTTCTAAAAACCCCAAAATAGATTAATCTAATATTTTCTAATCATATTTTTTATATCTAATTATTTAACAAGAAAAAATCACTATATAGAAACGGATCCTATATAGACGACATTTGTCGCCTAGAAGTATTATTTTACACAACAAAAAACGTGCTTGTGCCGGCCTCCAAAATATATGATTCACAAAACATTGTTCGGAATAAGCCGCCTCTATAAGTTGTGCTAGAGGGGATATATGTTGTTTGTGATTTTAGTGTTATCAACATATTTTTGTGTAATTATTATTAATAATGAGATATGTCGACCGAGATAGATGTGAACTCGGGAATACAAGGTTTCGGGGGCAACTCCACTGGGTGCAGGGTTCCAAGGGGTTGCACACCTGGCAGGGGGAGCGCCCTTAGCGGGGTCCAAGATTCAGAGCCAATAACTACTTTTCCCTCTTGTATAAGAACATGCTTCATGTTCCAGAAAACAAGTTACATAATATATTCTCAACATCTGGTTATTAAGATTTGACCTATCTTTCAAGAATACATTAACAAAGTATTATGTGTTTTACAATCTAAATTAGACAATTGGTTCATTCTTGGATTATCCCACTTCTAAATTCGTGTACCCCGGACAAAATGGACGAATTACAGATTTCGGAAAGTGTTTGAAAACATCAGGTAATCATAATATAAATATTATTAAAACATGTTATTCTAATTTTTTTAATCGTATAACATGAGTTGAGTTTTATTATAAATTTGTTTGAAGGGGTCACAATTTGAAACTTTTTGATAATGTGGAAAATAGTTAGTATTGCATTAGCTTATAAATACATATAGATGTTACATAAATAACCCTATTATGTGAATTGATGAATAAACTATAATATACACTATTTAACATTCCCCCTTACTTGGATAATCGACTGCACAAGCGTTCATGTTACCTAACAAATCTATTGATAGTTGTATAGGTAATTCTTTTATAAATATATCTACAAACTGAAGAGTAGATGTCATGTGTAACATATGAACCTGTGACATCCCCATTTTCACGGCCAGAAAAGACCGATTTTGTTTATGCTTTATAAAAATCAGAGTACCTCTTTTAATAAAAATGTTGCGGAATTTGTTCCCAGAAAACATGATAAATAGGTTATCAAAGCATTTCCGAGGAAATGTATTTTTATTCATTTTCAAAACATTGGGATGTCATCGTCAATACAGAAACATAAGCATAAACAGAACTTACATTTATTTACACTAGTGATCTACATCTCTTTTAAATCTCTCAGTGTAAAGTAGCTTCGTATGGACACCTGTGATACAAATAAGCTTGAGTGGGTCAGGTTGGGAAACCTGGTGAGTACATAGGGTTTTCAACCCACAATAATATAATTATTATGTTTAAACAACAAACAATCAACCCCATTTACCCATCCCCATTATCTTCCTTACTCTCAAGGGTCTACCCTAAGAGTCATCTATTCGTTCATTCCGAAGTCCCTTGCCTCTTAGGGTTATAAGACAGGCACTAAGGTGCTGTTTGTTTTTTCTAAAAAACCTCTCCTGGCCTCTTATTGCTGCGTCGCGCAGCACACGCGCAGCACTTGACCCTTCGCAGCTGTTTGTTTTTCAGAAGACTTCTGACTTAAAAACTGTTGCGCGTGTGCTGCGTGGCGCAGCACTAAACCAACTGCTTCAAACCTCTTCACGTCTTACTTTAACTTACTGCAGCAGTCTGCAGACGTTAAAAAACAAACAATTTTTTTTAAATGTTGCAGCCGTTTGTTCCACCTCTTCTGCTACAGAGGGTTGCAGAGGTGGTCCGCAGACTTCAGACATTTTCGCTTCGAAAAAACAAACAGCACCTAAGTCCATAGCTGCCAATGCTCGTTCGTAAAGCACTAAATCCATAGCTGCTAAAGTTCATTCATCGGGTACTAAATCCATAGCTACCAGTGTTCATCTAATAGGTACTAAGTCCATAGCTACCAACGTTTATCAGGTACTAAGTCCATAGCTACCAACGTTTATCCATCAGGTACTAAGTCCATAGCTACCAACGTTTATCTATCAGGTACTAAGTCCATAACTGCCGATATTATTTAGGCACTAAGACTATAGCTGCCAATGTTCATTCACATCATCTTTCATCCCTCATCATTCATCTACCCATGTTTCACCCAACATATTTGTAGATATAAAATACATATACAGTTTAAATCATATAAAACTTGTATAAAATCGTTCATCCAGCATAGATAGCAAGTATACAGATAATATGCACACATAGCACGTAGTTTATATAATATACTTCATATCTATGTGTAAGATGAAAGGGACTATGCACTCACCTGGAAGGTGGTGACTCTGCACTCGAACAGCGCTTCGTTACTTCTTAAAACAATTTCCCTCGACAAAACCTAGTATCAATACCACTAGGATTTAGTCTAACGTTAACCGCGACTAATTAATAGCCTAGTTATTATTATTATTATTATATAAGCGTTAAATAACACTCAATCTAATTCATAATAATAGCCCAAATAATTATTTTAAGGACCTAATAACATTACTATAATTATTTAAAAGCTATATTAAAAATTGCATAGGCGTAGCTCACTTACAGCGGATTTTATTAAAAACTGGGCTTTGCTCGGAGCAGCGTTTCCGAACCGAAAGACCCTTTTTCTCGGGACTCCGGGAGCCTCGGGGCATCCTTTGGGTGCTAGGGGTTTTATCTAGGGTTTAGGGGTGGTTTGGGGGCTTAGAGAGAGAAAGTAGTGAGAGAGAGAAGTGGGAAATGAGTGAAGAAAGTGGCTGCCTTCGCATGCCTTTTATAGGCCGAGCTCCTTGGGTACGCAGGGCGTTCCTGCGAGGGTATGCAGCGCGTTCCTCGTATGCAGGGCGCTCCTGGTCTACGTTGTGCATTCATACTGCCACACGTCCGAAGTCTGCTGGGTCTACGTGGTCATCTCCGGTCCGTGTATCCGAACGCGAGGCGTTCCATCCTTCTACGCGGGGCGTTCCTCGGACCAGCTCGTAAATTGCCATCCCGTCTTCTAAAATTCATAACTTTGGCATACGACCTCTGTTTTTGACGTTTTTTATATCCACGCGTAGGCGGGACCGTACTCTACAACTTTCGTTTTGATTCCGTCGGCTAATTTTGACTTTATTTTAAATTTGTATTTTTAACAGACCGGGACAGGATTGGTCCGTTAAAAATTCATAACTTCTTCATCCGACGTCCATTTTCGTCTGTCTTTTTATTGTTATGCTACTATTAACGAGATCTTCGATTCTCGTTTAGGTTGTGTCGGCTAAAAACCGCTCGATCTAATATTCGAACTTCGGGTGGTACACTGCTAAGCCGAAACTTCGAAAAATCATAACTTCCTCATACGAAGTCAGATTTGGGCGTTCGTTTTATGGACGCTCTCGGTTTAAAGTTTTCTACGACTTTTGTTTAGATCTCTAAGGCTAAAAGTCTCTCTATCGTAAATTCACTATTTACGTCTCCCGGTGCCGTGCCGGTTTTGCTGTAAAACTTCGACGGGTCATAACTTCTTCGTTATAACTCGGATTTTGGCGTTCT